TCATTTGTGACTGGATTATCAGCCAGTATTCATGAAAATCAGTTGTTACCATGGATTTGAAGGTCTCCAAGACAGAGATGTAAAATAAACTTCATTCAGAGTTGATTTGAATGTTCCAGCAACATTATTATTAATATTTTCATTCAGATATTATAGCGTGCAGAATATCAAATTAAATTACATTATTAGTCTACTTATCCTATCCAGATAGTTCATCAGAAACATTATTAAACAGTTTAATTGTATCTTCAATGCAGTATCTTCAACCAAAGCATTTGACTGTGTCCATATCAAATATATACCTTTTGTCAACTATCTGCAATTAGCTGAACTCAAATGGACTGCATTTGACAAAACAAAAGTTCAACATGTGCTCTATGACAACATTTCCCACTGAATTCCCAATTTAGCTTTTCGCCAACGCTGCCAGCTAAAGCTTGCCTGGTTTTGGCAGACTTGCTAGCAAAATTTGCGTGGTAAAGACAGAAAATTGAAACCCAAGTCCAGCCCTGCCAATCCACCACACACGCAAAAGAGCTTAGCTTCCAGCATCTGATCACTATTTTGAAGGGGCAGCTAAGAGGCAACATACAAAAGAGATTTGTCTGCCAAACTGCAGTCCAGATTTTGGAATGGAAATGGAAGTATTACTTCAATGTAGTTGTACATTTATTTGGATTGGCTTTGGCTGTATATAAAGAATGTCGAAGGTACAATTTTCAGTGATACTCTTGAAAAATCAGAATACCCTTAAAAACTATTCAGAAACTGCAGCAACTCCAAATATAGTGACCACATGCTTGAGTTTCCTAAAAATAAATAGTCCAAAAACTGATTGATCTGGCTGCTCAGATCAAATTTTGCCCTTACTGAAAACTCTTTATTTTTAACTTTACTATTTTTCTATGCATAATCCAAGGTGGAGGTTTGGCAGAAAACAAACAAACATTTCCTAAGTCAATTTTACATTTCTCCCTTTATGTGAAAGGAAGAAACTATATGAATTTTCCTTAGAACAGTATTCTACAGAATACTGCTGGCAGAGATTAATTTAGCCTTCATGTAAAAAGCATGACTTAAAGAAAAGACATTTCCCAAGAGAATATTCAGAGTACAAACCTTCTGAGGATTTAAGACTATCACATTCTCAACTAGCTTTGATGGCTAGTGACTTCTAGAGTGAACTACATTTATGTAGATTGCATGTCAGGAACATACAACCTAAATACTGAATGCCAGATAAATTATTGTAGTAACTTTTGAAAATAATATTAAAATCATTTCACTATAATGATGCTCAAACCTCTGTTACAAAGAATAGAATCATAGTTGTTATGGTTAAAAATACTGTAGACAGTCTATTTAAGATTTGGCCTAAATGTAAAGAAGTAAAGCCAGGAACTAAATGATTAGGATGTTGAGACAATAAATACACAAAATGGAGGAAAAAAATTAAGGAAAATCCAGAAATAAGAGAATGAGATAGGATATTTATGTATCCTATCCTTCAGGCTGTGCAAGCATGACCACTGGAAAATTCTGACAGTTGAAGTCCACACACCTTAAACCCTCCAAGATTGGAAACTAGTAAGCTAGTTTCATAAGGGATATGGTGGCTCAGTGGCTAAGATGCTGAGCTTGTTGACCAAAAGGTCCCGTTACTTGTCCCAGCTTCTCCCAACCTAGCAGTTCGAAGGCACGTAAAAAATGCAAGTAGAAAAATAGGAACCACCTTTGGTGGGAAGGTAACAGTGTTCCATGCACTTTCAGCGTTTAGTCATGCCGGCCACATGACCATGGAGACATCTTCGGACAGCGCTAGCTCTTCAGCTTTGAAACAGAGATGAGCACTGCCCTCTAGAGTTGGGAACGACTAGCACATATGTGCGAGGGGAACCTTTATCTTTTTAAGCTAGTTTCTCTCTGCTTGGGAAGAGAACAAAAGGAAAGCCATATATTATTTCTGAAGGTTAGTCATTCTATCCTATTCCTGAATTTTTGAATGTTGTTTTAGAAGCATGGAGCTCTGCCCTTCCACTGGCTAGTTTGGGGAAGTAGGCCTAATATTTATCTATTACAAAATAAGAAGGCTACAAATAGATATTTGGAATGCTTAACATCTTAGTTTGTGTTTGGGGCTCTGTCTTTCAATAATGATGTGATGAGGAATTGGGTTCTAGTAAGGTAGGAAAATGGAGATGAGGGGAGTCATTATTAAAACAAAGAAAACAAATAAATCTTAGATACAACAAATCTTAGATACTGGTCATTCTTGCCAGTAAAATAAAGATAATTCTGTGTGCAATATGATATAAATTTCTGGGTGAACCTGCAGCCTCATGTAAACAGTAGACATAATTCTCAGTTTTTAATATTTGCTAATAGCACCTAGACTTCACAGTGCTTTACAACCCCCTCTCTAAGCAGTTTACAGAGTCAGGATATTGCCCCCCAAATCTGGGTCCTCATTTTACCAACCTAGTAAAGTGAAAGACTGAGTCAACCTTGAGCCAGTGACAATCGAACTGCTGGCAGTCAGCAGAATTAGCCTGCAATACTGCATTCCAATCACTGCACCACCACGACTCTCTAATGTTGCTATTGTGTTTCTTAGTAGTGTTTTTCTCACCAGAGCTTGGTACTGACCATTTATGCTTTACTTCAAAAAAAAAGTTCTGCATAATCTTGTTTGAGAAAAATACATCAAGATTCTATCTATATTTATGAGCTGAGGCACAAGAATCACCTGTGATCAATTATACGATCAAGGTGCTTTCCAAAATGTTTTTTTTTTTCCAAACTTTACATGTGTTTGGTATCGAAAGTTTTAAAAAAGCTTCAGTGTATCAGAGAAAAGAAAGAGTTATGAAATTGACATTCTGAGTTCAGGATAATGATGTTACAATATGTCATAATTAATAGGTTCATAATGTTGGTTTCTCCAATTTGGAACAGTTTATTGTGTTTCAAGTCTAAAGTTATTCTCTATTTCAGAGTACAAAAAAAGAACTCAACTTTGTATAATTTGCATTCATAAGGCTATTTATAGAGTAACATTTTAAAATGTTAATTGCTTATATCTCAGCAATTCATACTTCTTTTACAACCTTTGCTCACTTAATCTCAATGCCTCTCACAGGCCTCAAAAATGATATATATGTGCAAAGGGTAGTGTCTGCTATCTACAACATGGTCTACTATGGGTTCAGAGGGGACTGTGGTATAAACATCACCAAATTGGAACAGTGCAGAGGCATATTATTTTTTCTAAACACAGGTAAAGACAGGATAGCAAACAGTAGGGCATGAACAAATGTTTCTCAAAGAATCTTAAACTTCAACAAGTTATGAGAACAAGAGATATTGATCTTCACACTCCTGTGATAATGGCTGCCTAATGAAGTTATAATTTTCAATGTTAATTATTAAAGACTTCTCTAAAGAGGAGGAATATTCTTTGCTGAATCTCTTAATGTCGAAGAGAACAAAGCAATCATACTTATATATTTTTAGAATTTGACAACACACTAATTGTTGTTTGTTAGATTAATATCTCTCTTTTCTCCAGGGGCTTTTAATGGAATCTCTTCTCCTCACCACTCATGTGAGATAGATGAGGCTGACAGAAAATGACTGGCTCAAAGTGAACTTCCATGTTTGAGAGTGGATCTGAACCTGGTCCTAGTCCAATATCTCAGCTGAGTATGATGCTGATAATTTTTTGTCAATATGAGTATGATGATGTTGATAACTTTTATCATATTATGCAAGTTTCTTAGATGGTGGTAAAGAACAAAGAAAAATTTCACTTTTCTATTCCTGGCTATGCTTTTGTTCTTCTTGGATTTCTTACTTGCTCCTACTTAGATATCTACTTATTTAAACCCAAAATTGGCAGCTGAATTAAAGAGACAAACTGGGATAAAATGCAAAATAATATACTTCTGTTTCCAATGTGTGTGTTGCACATATCCTGAAATTTTACATGGAGGATAACAACTGTGATAGCTTGGCCTCAGTCCTAAAACTTATTGGGTGGCCTTGGGAAGAAGTCACTCTTTCACATCCCCTTGTGACATAGTAGGTCTGAAGATAACTGAAATAGGATTATAAAGCTTTTTGCCTCTGAGAGGGCCAATAAAAATGATAAATAATCATGCTCATTATTCTTTCAGAATCCTTAAGTTCTCATCTGACCTCTGGCTATTAATTGATTGAAGGATAATTCACATTACTTTCCTAGATCTACCAAAAAGTATGTCTTGGATCATCAGTCAGTGAAAACCATACATTTTGTGATAATTGACATAAAGAGAACATAATTCAGTAACCATGTGAGGACCAAACTAAATGTGATGATAAGGTGTTCTTTCATGCCCTTTTGAAAGGAGGGGAATGCATTTCAAAAAGAAAAGAAAAGAGAGAGTGTGTGTAAAGATACCTATAGAGAGAAAACCAGAAATATGAATTATTTATTAAAGATAATTCAAGTTTAATTAATTTAAGGGATGAATACTTTCTGTATTTCTGTAGTCCATCTGGTGGCCTGAGCTGTCCCATGTGGATCTTGACCCTTAAACTGAACATGGAATGCAAATCCTTGAAATATAACTGGCAACTGTAACCCATTACAGTTCATGATTTCAGAGGCATATCCTTACCTAGCAGAGAAATGAGTTTAAAACACTGATTGGCAAAAAAAGTATTGAAACAGAAGCAACTTTGGAAGCTTCCCCTTTGACGTGGAAAGCTGGCAGGGAGCATTGGAAATGTTCCTCCTTCCTTCCCTCCCTCCCTCCCTCCCTCCCTCCCTCGTTCCATTCTCAGCAAGCAGGTAAGTAGCTGCGGCCAGGCAAGGGAGGGAGTGTATAAGTGGTCAGCACAATGGAAGCTCAAAGAGACTAGCAGAGTGTGTGTAGATGGGGCAAATTTACCTGAACTTTCAACCTTTCCTGAAAGATTCCCCCCACTGACTTTTTTCCTGTATGTTTCCATGGCAGCACAGCAGTGAAGCTGAACAAGAGAAGCACAACAATGTTGCAGCTTCGACAACTTTTCCCAGTTTTATTCCCATGGAGGTCATGTGGCCCAGCACTCTGTAAGTTACCCATTTGACTTACCTTGGTTCAAGAACTGTCACTCAATACCTTCCATTTTTGTCAATTCCTGTAAACTACCTGTAATTTTCTATAGGTGGGAAGAGGGAGTTTCCCTTGAGTTTCCTGCTATCATCTTAATGAAAAGTGCATATCTGACATTAATGTTAATTCTACCACTGAAAGGCATGGCATATTAAATGCAGACATTTCACCAATAGTTAACAGTTGTTAATTTCATCCAAGAGTAATTAAAACCTTAAGCTTGAATCCAAAATGGCACTGTGGTACCCTAGCTAAACTGTTTACAAAAAACAAGAAAAATCCACTACCTCACAAAGACTTTTGCTCTTTGGGTGACATACTGCTTACCAAAATAATACATAGATCACTACATTTCTCAAAGGAATTATGACCTCTTCCTACCATAGATGATAACTTCCATTTGATTCTGTCTCCCCTTCCCTATGCCTCATATTCACACAATTTAAACTTTGACAGATCCCAGCCTTCTTTAAAAGTTCAGATATTGCTTTGATTTTATTTCCTGGCAATCTGTTGCACAGAGAAACATACACACAGAGAGACAGACAGACAGACAGACAGACAGACACACACACACACACAAAATAAAAATCTAATAACAACAAATTATTAACCAGGTGTTTCATAGATGCAGCTAATAAAATTGCCAATTGCCAGTTGTATATTAGAATAACAATTGTATATTTCAATGTCCCATCCAGAAGGAAGAGGCAATAATCCAATCAAATCATCTAGGAAAAGCAGGATGTTACAATATGTGTGTGTATGTATATGTGTATGTGTACATGTATACGTGTACATCAGAGGTGGGTTTCAGCAGGTTCTGACCAGTTCTTGAGAACTGGTAGCGGAAATTTTGAGTAGTTTGGAGAACCGTTAGTAAAAATTCTGACTGTCCCCGCCCCCATCTGTTCTCTGCCTCCCAAGTCCCAGCTGATTGGGAGGAAATGGGGATTTTATAGTATCTTCCCCTGCCACACCCTTCAAGCCATGCCACACCCACCAAGCCTCACCTACAGAACCGGTAGTAAAAATTTTTGAAACCCACCACTGGTGTACATGTATGTATGTTTATATATATATATATATATATTTCCCCATTAAAAAAAGAAAATAAATTGGATTAGTGACCTACAAGAATTATTTACATATTGTCAAGCAAGACACAGTATGTATCGAAATACCATCACAATTATTTTTATTTTTTAATGTTACTTCTTACAAGTCACAATAACTTTATCTGTTGTGAATGCATTTGTATGGCAATATGTAATACAATCTTTTGAAAAGTGCATCTCTGATGTGCATTGTTGCTCTGTACCCACATGGCATCCCAGTTGGGGCATATGGTTGGGCTATATGCATTCATAAGGCAGCAATCAGACTAATTAGGCTGTGCCTTTAATAAATATGTATTTGAAAAATATTTTCTGGTATTTGCGTATACATTTGGTTCAGCAGAGGAGCAAGTATATGACAAAAATTCATGAATCTGTCCATGCATTTGGGCAATTTTCTTGGAAAAATTAGGTGTTAATTTTTAGAAACAATTATCATACTGACCTTGATGATTAAGTATGATAATTAAAAGACGTTGTGAGTAATATGTTTTATATCATAAACATTCCTTTCTGATCTAGTCACTGAAAAAAAAATACCATTTTAGTACAGCAAGGAGTATTTTTTCAATATGATTAGCAAGCCATCTGTTGACATTTTAGTGCAATCTTTTGAAAGTCCCCAGCTTACTGCTTCTGCTTTAGCAAAGAAAGAACCTAAAATAGTAATGCCTTTTGCAGCTCCATCAGAAGAAGGTGATTTGGAAAGGGCACATGTTTGAGAACAATTAAGAAGATATTTAGAGGGTTTGCAAAATTTTCCTAATGAAACCAGAAGGTAAGGAAAATTCACCAAGGCTTGTGTCTCTATTTGATCCCTTGGGCTAGTTAAAGAAGATCTTTAAAAGTAAATGAAGCTTTGTCGCTAGCTTTGAATGGGATTGCCACTCAAATTTTGACCAGCATGAAATGCAAAATGCATTTGGGGAATTCTTGCTAAATGATGTAACTTAGGAAGTCAGAAGAAACATATAAGTAGATAATATCTTATACTAAATCAAACTCTTCTACTCTTAATATTAACTATTCTAAATGTCAATAGTTCTCTGTCAATTTTCCATGTGCATCCATCATGATTTAGGCTTCTCATTTACAAACAGTTCCCATTCATGGAGAGAGTCAAAGCATCGGCATTCCAGATTTGAACTTGGATGTCTGTGCTTGGACTCTTACTGTATTGCATCAAATTTGGGAAGGTGAATTGACTCCAAGAGGTGAATTTCTTTTTTGCAAGAATGATAGTAGCATCTACTTTGAAACAACCAGTAATTAGGCTATCCCTGAAGAAAACCTAAGTTAGATAGCCACTAAATATAGGTTGATTGCCCCATTCCTTGGCAAATTAACAATAATTTGCAGTCACTTTTAAGATAATGTTCATTGTCCATTTCAATCAATTTAGGCTTGCATACCAGTGCTATACTATAGCAATTCTTCTAATCGAATAATTACATAAGGCTGAAGGATTATTGTGCATGGATATTATTCAGTGTGAATCCACAAACTCTATTTTATTCCCTATGTTGATTAGCATTTATATGAAACCAATGGTGTAAATCATTTAGTAATTTGGACAGAGATTTCACCAACGTGTGGGTGTCATACACTACCAGTCCTTTTCTTCTTAAAGCAGTTGGTGTTCTAACTAGTCCTGAGTACAATAATAATTCACATAAGGGCCAAGACATTTATATTCAATCTAGATAAAAACAATAAATTCTGCTAATAGGTTTATCAGGCAGTTGATCAATATTCAACCAGTTTTGGTGAAGAGTACATACTTTTTCAAGAATATCAATTACATTAGTAATTTGCCATAAGGCACACATGGCTTATGCCAAATCATAATAAGAAGATGAACAGAGATAGATTTCCTATATTTATTCATATTTTGTTCATTTCCTAGTTTGAGGAAATAAATGAATACATTTACCACAACTTATTTTTTTTAACTGAAGCACAAGGATCTTATGATAGCATTTCATCACTATGTAGCTGAGCTACTGAAAAACACTCTTTTTAAGCCTACACAGAAGCTTCAAACTGGCCCCAAATAAAGTGGCTTAGGTGCTGAGCACATAATATCTGTATTCTGGCTGCTGCATTAGCTCCCTCTTTGCTTCTGAGTTCAGTGTTAACTTTTAAAACCTAAATAGCCTTGGTACCAAGTATGTCAGATCACCATGAGCTGGATTTGACCTGGTCAACATGGGATAACCTGCTAAAGAATACCTAACTCCAGAGAGTTAGGGAGATGAAAGCTCACAAATAAATTTCCTTGGTGATTGTATATACACAAATTTGCACCTCATAGATTTGATCTGCCTGAACACTGTTAGTGGACAGAATATGTGTAATTTTTTTTTCAGTGACGCCTTCTCATAATGCACATTTATTTATTTATTTGCTTGCTTGCTTGCTTGCTTGTTTGTTTATTTGTCAACAAGTACAAGGAAACAAGTAACAGTATAGACATAGACATGGACACATGGGAAAAAATTGGCACAAATAAAAGGAAATAAATAAGCAAAACAGCCATAAACCCATAAAATGAGTACATATAAATGGGAACAGTAGAACAGGAACGGTAGGCACGCTGATGTGCTTATGCACGCCCCCTTAGGAACCTCTTAAAAAACATGAAAGGTCCACGGTAGACAGTTTAAGGTAAAAGGTATGGGGATAGAGAGACTAACAACAGGATCAGGTAGAGTGTTCCAGACATTTACTACTCTTTTGCAGAAGTCATATTTCCTACAATCAAGATTAGAGCGAATTATATTGAGTTTGAATCTGTTGATAGCCCTTGTGCTATTGTGGTTGAAATTAAAGTACTCATTTACAGGTAGGATGTTTTGGTAAATAATCTTATGAACTAAGCTTAGGTCAGAACATAGATGGCGTAGTTTGAGGCTATCGAGGCCTAAAATTTCAAGCCTGGTGGTATAGGAAATTTTATTTCAAGCAAAAGATTTGAGTACTCTTCTAATAAAATATCTCTGGACCCTTTCTAATGTATTGATGTCTGAAACACAGTGAGGGTTCCAGGCAGGTGAGCAGTATTCAAGTATAAGTCTGGCAAAAATTTTGTATTCCCTAGTTTGAAATATAACGCTACCAGAGAGAAAACTTCGTAAAATAAGATTGACAAGTCTTAATGCCTTTTTTGCAATGATGTTACAGTGAGCTCTGGGGCTTAGATCTTTTGAAATGAGTACTCCGAGGTCCTTGACAGAGTGTGGGTCAACTTTTAGATCATTTCCGGCCATCAAATATTTGATATTCTTATTTCTATTGCCAATGTGCAGGCCTGAGCATTTGTTAGCAGAGATTTGGAGTTGCCAACTGTTTGACCATTCAGATACATAGTCTAGGTCATTTTGAAGAGTAATAGAGTTGTCTGTGGTGTTGAATAGTTTAACATCATCGGCAAAGAGGACACAGCTTCTTATAATTTGATCACAAAGGTCATTGATATAAAGCAGAAAGAGTGTTGGACCTAGAACTCTGCCTTGGGGAACACTGCTGTTAACAGGTGCAGGTGAAATCTTGTTTCAGAGTCTGTAATCAAAATAAAAAATATGTAAGGTTCTAATTACAATTTATAATTCTGATTACAAATTTGGAAATATATTCGGTAATTTAAGATTAAAATAAGGGAAGGTGACAATAGCAAGGAAAAAAGTATAGTGATAGGAATACTTAGAACTAAGGAGAAATTTCCTGACAGTTAGAACAATTAATCAGTGGAACAACTTGCCTCCAGAAGTTGTGAATGCTCCAACACTGGAAGTTTTTAAGAAGAGGTTTGACAACCATTTGTCTGAAGTGGTGTAGGGTTTCCTGCCTAAGCAGAGGGTTGGACTAGAAGACCTCCAAGGTCCCTTCCAACTCTGTTATTCTATTCTATACAATATTGGGGGACCTAAAGTATTTCTTAAATATCTTTTCTGAAATGCTTAACCTAAATACATTTTAAAGTTTTCTCTAAAGCTGGTTTCCCCCCCCCCTTCCATTCAATCATGTCCAGTTCTTGGAGTCTGCTTGCACAACTCACTGCTGTTTTGTTGGCAAAATTTTTCAGAAGTGGTTTGCCTTTGCCTCCTTCCTAGGGCTGAGGGAAGGTGATTGATTCAAAGTAATCCAGCCAGTTTTGTGCCTGAGGCAGGACTAGAACTCACATTCTCCCAGTCCCTAACCTGCTGCCTTAACCACTGCACCAAACTGGCTCTCACAAAGCTATGAATATCTAGGAATGAATCCAGCATCCTAAAAGTTGGCCAAAATGAAATTTAAAGTGAGTTAATTTGGGTGAGCAGTCAAGTACGTGCTTAAATGAACAGCAATTTTCTGATTATTTGATATATTACAGTACAGCATTGTTTTTATCATGTCATGTAAAAAGGCATTTCAGGAGTTAACATGCCTACTGTTATCAAGAATACACAGATCCCATATAAATCCCAATTGCTTCTGCTCTTGGCTGCTCCCTCTTTCATGTAAAAGTGGGGTTCCAGCACCCTAATTTACCTGAAGACCCTATTTATTTTCAATACCATCAGATTGCATTCATGCATGTGAATGCATGTTTTGGGGAAAGGGGGTGGGGTGGGCGATGAAGCTCTTGCTACAAATATTTGGTGGAAGCAGCATGTTTAAAAATGCATTTACTGATTTCCTCATAAATTGCCCCAAGCGTTTTGATGTCTGATATTGTCCAAGAGACTCCTAAAGGCTTATTATGGCTTGAGGGCTAATTTCATCTCCTCAAGCCAGCCCATTAGCATTCAACCGTCGCACCTGGTGGAGAAAATTGTCCCTCGAGTTTTCCATCATGGTCCTGCAGACATCTGCTGATTCAGAATGTTCACTTTTACTCACCTAAGTGGGCAAGCATATGATTGGTAATTTGAAAGCTAAATGCTGCCTATCTCGTCTAAATATTAGTTAACCTTCCTTTTCTCCCCCTCTCTGTTTCTTCATTCTTTCTAAACAGCTTCGGTGGAAGAAGCTGCTGCTCCTTTGATGCCATAGCTTGCTTGATTGAAGTGGGCTAGACAATTGCATCCTTTCCAAGTTCTCTTATATTTACAAACCAGAATGGAAGAAGGCCACATCAAAGAAAAGTTCTTCTCTTGCTTACGCAAAAGGCGGCAGAAAGCAAGCATTAAAGACACCCACTCCCACCCATGCACCCCTACAGCAAAGCTGTACTCTCTTACCTTTCCAGCATTGCTAGGATCTGAATTTATTTATCTGACCAAGTTAACAAGCATCTTAGATTATCTTTGACTAATTCATGTTTATTTATTCCTGATCACTCCTGTAACTGAAGGCTTCTGGGTGAAATAGGATTGAAACAAATCTTCAGCTAAGATTTGGGTCAGAGGAGGTGAAAAGACTTTGAAAAAGATGACTTAGTCCAACTATTACAACTTTAACTCTTTCTGAGTTTCACTTTGACGGCTCAAAAACATGAACTTGTTCTGCCCCAGCTACAGACTCCAAAGAACGCAGCACACACAAAATCTATACAAAGCTTATTTTACTTAAATAACTCAGTCTTTTTCAACCAGAGGCTTTAATAAACTTTCAAACAGCCTACAAGAATTCTAAGATAAGGTAATCACAGTCTTACTAGGGTTGGCAGAAAGCCCAGAAGCAATTTTGCAGAGAATCCAGACGCAAAGGAGAGTGAACTAAAGTTGTTCCCTACAGCTTGCTACAATCGGCATTCCTCCTTAAATAAGCTAAGGGAGTGGCCTTACTCCCTTAGACTTACAATTAATCCCAAGCCTTACTCTCGAGGAGATCTCCTCCTGAGGAGCCATTCCTGCCTTTTGGCAGCTCTGTGCGCCCGAGTATTGAGAAGAGACTCCTCCTCTTCATCCTCTTCACTTAAAGGAGCTTCTGGAGGTTCTGAAGGCCCTGGCTGAATCCCTGCCTCTGGCACCACATCTTCTCCAGCCTCCTCACTGTCTGACTCAAGCGCCAGCTGCACAGGCTGCTGGCGCAGCACCACACCAGCCTCCTTGTTGTCGGAATCAGCTACAATCTGCATAGGCCACTGACAGGCCACAACACAACCTGGACTTACATCTGAATACAGAAATTCTTTAAAAAGCAGCTGTAAACGTATTATTGAACATCAGATATCATATCCCAGTGATATGATATCTGATAATTGATAATCTGATATGATAACTGAGTTCCAATCACACTGAGGCAATTTTAATAGGAGCTGAATTTGAAGGTTTCTAGAGATGTGGGATAAGCAATCCAAAGAAATACGTAATTTCAAAGTTTATTCTGATATTTTCAGGGAATGGAGTCACACACTCATATATTGGAACAAAAATATTTGGTGTTTTTCTAAAGATGTTTACGATACTGAACGATACCTTCATTTTTAGCAACATTTGGTGAAGGCTTCAAAAGTGTTTGCTTTGAAATAAGCATTGGATCTCACTCTGAACTGACCTTGTTACATAGTCAAAACTGTTTACTGACAAACATTATGACATCATTCTTTGTACTATGCAAAACCCAACTATTTGTATTTGCTAATGCAAAAAAAAAAGTATATAAAGATTGTTTTGAGAAAACAATGGATTGGAATTGCATCTGCTATGAAAAACAATACCAGTCAATTTTGGGATTTCCGCCCCTTGAAATTAAAATTTCTAACATGGAGATATAGAAATGCTTTGAAAATAATAAGCCCAGGCAAATTATCTCTGAACTTCAAACCAATTTGAATTTGTCTCAATATCAAGAGTTCCTAGTTTTCCATCCCAATATTTTCTGAATTCCATGCTATAGATATGGAAGAAAAAAAATATGGCAAGAAAAATGGGGTAATGGAGTTATTAGAGACACTTTCCAATCTCTCTGGAAAAAATGGAGGATTGTGGACATGCCCATAACATTTAATGTACAACAAATATTGTGAGGAAAGAAATTAAGAATAAATTTCTACCATTCCCTGGTGACCAGTTTGCCTTACTTCCTCAGAAGTAAGTGGAAGGGAGGGAGGGAGGAAGACCCAACAAACATTCCGAGAAAAGAAATTAAGAATAAATTATCGGATCTGTCTACCATTCTCTGGTAACCAGTCTGTCTTACTTCCTCACAGTGGAAGGGAGGCAGGGGCGGGGGAGGCAGGCAGGTGGGGGAAATCCAAAAAACATTTTGAGAAAAGAAATTAAGAATAAATTATCTGATCTGTCTACCATTTCCTGGTAACCAGTTTGCCTTACTTCCTCACAGTGGAAGGAAGGCAGGAACGGAGGGAGGGAGGAAGGGAGGGAGACCCATTGGGGCCTTTCAGGGCATTACTGGATGGGGGGAGTATTTATTTGCTTTCTCTCTTAGTATATTCTACATTAAGAAAGTGATTGATGCATATATATATTCTGAGTCAAAAAATGAAAAAGAATTATCTATTGTTTAGCTTTGATTTGAAAATCTAAATGTGAATATTTGATATATTTGTTAGAAAATGCCCATGAATATACAAAAATGTGGGCTTTTTAGTTTGATAACTTTAGTAATTTTATCTTGCACAAATCAATAAATTGATTAAATTGGTTAAGGATTATCGGTCTATCTATCTATCTATCTATCTATCTATCTATCTATCTATCTATCTTAGCAATGATCATACTCTGCCTGTGCACTGAGGCATGAGTATTAAGAGAATTTTAGAAGAACAAATCTCATTGAACTCTTTTTATGTGGTCTTTCAGCATAGGTCAAAAGTAATGCACTGTAACTAGGAAACCACTTTAAATGC